GCCTTTTTCTTAGCAGGCTTACGTTTGCCCAACGCCGTACCTTCTTTCACCGCCATGACACTCGGCGCAGGCACCCCGCTAGAGGGAGCCGGGACAGTGTCCCTTACAGCAGCCTCACGCCGTCTATCCGCCGCCAATGGGGGCCGCATCCTCTTCTCTGGGAGAAGGCGCTCCTCGATGCCGGCAAATCGGCCATCGATTAAGGTGCCCACAGAGGCGACTATGGAGGCCCTAAGTTCCTCCAGCCAGTTACCGCCAACTACATCTGATGGGCCCGACTTCGCCGCAGACATTTCGGCCCGCATGTCGGAGAACTCTCGGCGGTAGGCCTTGAGCTCCGACTTGAGGTTTTCGACCTCCTTCCTGAGCCTAGCGTTGTCGGTGCTCAGGTGCGCCATCTCCTCAGCCGCCGTGCGCCCAGCAAGTGCCTCCACCACCTGCTGCAGGGAAGCCGCCGACTCTTTGAGCCTCTTCACGAAGACTCCCTTCAAATTTCCCGACTTAGCGGCCACCTCTAGAATTGCCGCAACACTTGCTCCAGCAACCGACTTCAATTCCTCAGCCGGCATTCCGGCCACATCAATGGGAGAGGGGGCAACAGAGGCCGACAACCCCTTCTCCACAGGTTGAGAGGGACCCTCCTTGCGGAATGCCCTCTTCTTCAAAGTCTCCTCAAAGGCCTTCTCTTTGGCCTCATATTCGAGCTTTTTTTAGATCCGCCCGTGAACGCACCAGACCAGAACCCCCCGGACCCTTGAAGGTCTTCCCCCTACGTGCCTCCGTCGCCCTGGCGTTCGAGGTCGACTCCGTCTCGGTCTCAGACCCGGAGGACGACGCCAAAAGCGGCACAGCACGAGGCCTCTTACGGCCCAACGTTGAAGAAACGGACGAGAACATAGACCCATCCGAATCGTATACTACGCCCATCGCAGGCTCACCAACAACTCCGCCAGTCACTGGCACCGTCAATTCACCGCCCATCACGGGCTCCACATCAAAGGTTTGGGTTTTTTGTTTATTAAGAGTTTCCATTTTTGAATCCCACGAGTATGGGGGATATAACCCGTCCATCCGGGCGGTGCCCCCTGCACCCGGATAAGCCTTCAATAACCCGCCCAGAGTGTCGGCCGGTACTCTGGCGGGGGAAGCAGTAGGGACCGATCATCCCATCGGCCATGCATCCCCTCGCGCTGCTTCTCCGCTTGGGATTGGGGTAATTTTTTAGAGAGGTTTTCTTCCTCGCAGCCCAGGCGGTAAAGCCAAGGCCCTCGGTCCCAGTCCCGGCCGCTAGACATGATCAACGACACCAGGAACCGGGATTACGAGTTGAGGGGGGGGTGCACCCTGGTGCTTGTCCGGCTGCGCAATTAAGCACCCGCCGGACCCGCCCCACCTCGCGCTTTTCTGTCAGGGTGTGCTCCCTTAGGCCGTGGGGTTAACAAACCCCTAAAGGCACGCCCATGCCTACTGGTTTTGGTCCGCGCCGGTCAAGACCGGTACCACCAATGTGGTGGCATTCCCCTATCCGCCACCCGGGGGACGCGCCCAGTAGCAGTCCAGCAACTGCCCTGAGACAACTGTTCTAACCTAACCTAACCAAGATATGACGAATAATAAATAAATAATCTTAAATGTTCTAACCTAACCTAACCAAGATATGACGAATAATAAATAACAATATATTTTACATAAATCAGATAAAAAGTCATAAATGTATTTATGAAGTGAAAATAATATTTTTCTTTTTATTTATTTATTAATATTACCAACAGAAAAAGCAAAAATAATCAAATATAATCTGTTATCATTTAAGCGGTAATATAAAACAAAGTGACAGTTTTGCTTTTGTCAAAATGTAAGATCATTTTGTTTGTGTTGTGAAATTATTAAAATATTAAATACAATAAAGCATTAATTGTTGTGAAAATATGTATTGTACATAAAAAAGGATGCGTACTATTCGTTAAAGGTATGTTTATCTGTTGTAATCACTTATTTAGGTAAAGAAATGTATGGAAATGTGTTAGATATGTTATAACTTTAAGTCTCAATAACTTTTTACTCGTACGTTTCCTCCAAATATTTTTAATATATTTTGACTCTCTGTCACCTCCCCTATCTAAAAATACCACCCACTCCGAATGGTGGTAAAGAAATATATGAAAATGTATGGAAATGTTGTAACTTTAAGTGTCAATAACTTTTTACTCGTACGTTTCCGGAAAATTTTTTTTTTAACATTTCGACTCCCTATCACGTCCCCTATCCAGAAATACCACCCACTCCGCCAGGGGCCACGTCCCCTATTCTAAACTTGTGCTCTAAAGACTATAAACCGGCCAAATTAAAAAGATGTAAACAAAGAGATACCCGTGAATCAGTCATTTTTGCTATGTTGTGCAATGAGTTTTTTAAGTTCGGTTGAGGTGTTTATCTTCACTCGGGTCTTGTCTGGGAGAAGAATGATTACCACACCGTCAGCAGACCAGCACTTCTTCATGCCGAAGTGCTTGCGAGCGGCAACAAACACGTCCTGACGCGACTTGGTCAAAAATTCTGTCAAGGTTATTTTTGTACCTTTCAACGAAGTCTTAGCCCTCCATGCAGTTGTTTGAGTCTTCATATTAACAAAACGCATAAGAACAGGCCTACATGAATCCCTTTTGGCACCTAATCTGTGACAAGATTCAATAACATCAGGGTTTGCGTCTGGAAGTTTCAAATGGCTGGTTAATACTGACATGACCTTTTTCATCACGTCTTCGTCCTTATCCTCCTTAATACCATGGAAAAGAAGAGTTTTTCTCCGTGATTGTGTCTCCAAACGATCCAGGCCTTGGGCTACAAGCTCAACTTGGGATTTGAGTATGCCGAGTGATTTCCATACAAAGGTCTTAAATGTGTAGTATTCGGCAGACAAGGCTTTTACTGTTGGGTTGGATGCAGAGGGACCGGGTTGCTGCAAGTTCTTCTCAAACTCCCCCATCCTGGTGGCGAACATTGAGGAGAGCTCTTTCATGCTCTTAAGAAGTTGATCAACAGGGGTATCCATGGTTAATTAGTGAAGAAAGTTTGTGTGAGAGTGAATAAATAGTCAACTTATGCACTGGTAATAAAGACTTTAAAACATATATTTAATATATATATTTTTTTAAATATTTATAGTAGAGCAGTTAAATTCGCGTCTAAGCTCTTTCGTGTCTACCCGCCGAAAAAAGTCATTTAATATAAGTAAATATGGCAAAAAAATCTGTTTACATCTTTTTTCTAAATTCACATAATTTGATTTAATTTAATTGAATCCAATTTTCACTGTTCAATATATTATTCAAATTTAAAATATTTTAGTCAGCATTAAATTATTACAATTTTTTACAGAATGTAATGAGTCTACTACAAGTTCGGGAAGAAGAAGCCTCAGACCTGAGAAGAACTGGCGAAAGAAACTCAGCGGGACTAATTTAAATTCTATAGTAATCTAAGTAATTTCATAACTCTTTTTTTTTAAATTAAGTTATAATTCAAATATTTCTATATAATTGAAGTAGCGATACCTGGAGGCGATCACTTGATTCCCAAGGCGTGCCATCTTTTACAAAAGCATTAATTGTATAATGGCCTTTAGCACACAGACGTTCTTTAACAATTCTTTTGAATTTGACGATAGAAGCTTTATGAACATTTTCTGGGATTCTGTTGTATAAGCGTATACATTGTCCGTAAAAAAAATTACTGACTGTGTGACGAGTCACAGGCACTACAAGTTTGTGTTTGCTCCTAGTATTAATGTTATGCATGACACAATCCTTGGGAAATTCTTTTATATTTTTACGAACATACATAATATTTTTGTAGACGTACTGAGAAGCAACAGTCAATATTTTTATTTCTTTAAACCTATGTCTTAATGACACTCTAGGACCTAAACTATAAATTGCACGAATAGCTCTTTTATGCAGGACAAAAATCGTATTAATAGCAGCTGCATTACCCCATAGTAGGATACCATAGGACATAGTACTATGAAAATAACTAAAATGTACTATGCGAGCTGTATCTACGTCAGTAATGAGTCTTATTTTTTTACTGCGAACGCTGCAGAGCTGAGTCTACTCGCTAGCCTCTCAATATGGGGGCCCCACTGTGATTTCGAATCTATGATAATACCTAGGGATTTAGTGCACTCTACCGGTTCTAATATTATACCATTATCAACGAGGTATTATTTATATTTAAATTATATTTTATATTAATTTTGTCTTATTATTATTTAATAATAAATTAATTGAATTAAACCAATGGACAACCTTTAAAAGAGGATTGTTTACATCGTCGTACATAAGTAAATTACGCTTAACTTTAATAAAATGTCATCAGCAAACAATACTATCTCATGTCTGTCCTGTACAAAAAATGGCAAATCATTAATATAAATTAGAAAGAGAAAGGGGCCAAGAATAGATCCTTGTGGAACCCCCATATCTAATGGAGCCCCAGGAGATCTCTTACCATTTAAATCAACCTTCTGTATTCTATTATTGTAATGCGAATTTAGAAGGTCGAGTGCCTTATATCTAATACCATAGTGATGCAGCTTCCTGATCAGCGTCGCCATAGCATACAATCAAAGGCCTTGGATAAGTCACAAAATATCCCAAGTGCATCCTGTGACCTCTCCCAAGCCTTAAAATAGTTTTTACTAGCTCAACACTAGCATCTGCCGCGGAGCGGCCTGTCGTAAATTTAATCTGTTTCTTATGAAGTAGATTGTGTGTATTGAAATGCGTTAACATTTGCTCGAGTATGACTTTTTCAAAAATTTAACTAAACGCTGACAGTACCGAAATTGGTCTAAAATTATTAGGGTCTAAGGTACTACCTGATTTAAAAATAGGAATGATTTTACTATGTTTCATTAGATCAGGAAACGCACCATGCTCCATACTGCTATTAAGTATAGTAGCTAGATAGATATTATATTTTCATACTTTACAACATACCTTGCACCTTTTCTACCTTCTTTGGATTATTATTATTTAAATAGCCTGCTTTTCTCTTTTTTAAAACCTGTAACATAAAAATCCTTTAATATACTTTTAATGACACTAGGTACGTTTTGAAGGTAAGTATGGAATGGACTACATATACATACATATGTATATGTACACTGTACTTCTAAGGAGGACTCGATAAAACCAGTTATTGTGTATTCCCTTGAGAAAGAAAGATTTTCCTGAAGCTAACCTAAATGTTGACCCGAGTAATAAGCTATCACTTCACTAAATTTCGTTGAAATCTGTTCATTATTTTTTGCTTGAAACGCTCACACACAAACAGACAAACAGACACACAGACATACAGATAAAAAATTAATAACTATTGTTTTGGGGTCTATATTGTGTACATAATACGTTGCAGTCATTATTATATGGCATGTATTGAAGTAAAAATTGATTTAGACTAATGTTATAAGAAACTACTAAGACCTAAAAAAGTGAGGTGTGATAGAAATCTTCACTGAGTGACTAGACTAATAGGCTTCATTGGAGGTCGTGCAATCAATCCTTGATTAGGATAAGTTTGAACATTGCCCAAATCAATGTCAACTTAGGCCGAGGCGAGGTGCGTGAGAGAATGTGGGTGCACGAGCGACCCCAAGCATAGCACGACATTAGGATTCTGTTGTGGGTTTTACTGAGTAAGAGATAAACAGTGTAAAACTCTGTGAAATTCACACTACAATTCAATATTTTCCCAAGCAACATAAAAAAATGGACATGTGCGAGTCTGAATCGTAAGCCAAGGGCTCAGTAGCATGAAACATTGAATTTTATTGAAGGTGTAAATAAGTTTGTATTTGTATTAGAAAGAAAGCTAAGTATGCGGCCGAACGCTTTGAACCGAAAATAATGGATATTTCAAAAACCACTAAACGTACTTTATTCGAAGTAATTTTCGTTGAATGTTATTTAAAAACTACTATTTTCATTTTTATTTACTTCCCATACTTTAGAGGTTAAAAAACTTAACTATGTATATATGTAGGTATGCCGAAATTAAATCATTCAAAAGATAAATTGAGTTACATCTGAATCGATAGATACAAAATATTTTTTACCGTATCGGACATGTTGTGAATAATTTTTAAATATTCATCTTGTTTCTTTTTTAATGAAGACAAGCTGTAGATGAAATTATTGTGGAGCCAGAACTTTTGGAACCTGTCCAAAAATACGTTGAGCATTTGCTCTACAGCATCGACATATTGGCTGTTTAGTATTGTCTTATCAGTGTGATCAACACCTAAAGCTGTCACTGAAATTTGAAATATTTAATTTTACATATTTTCAAAATAGGAAGTAGGTAACGTTAATATTTACTTTCGAGTTAGATGGAGTTAGATGTAATGCTTAAGGAATGAAATGTTATAAAAACAAAAATTTGAAGGTGAATGAATCAACAAACTGTGGTTAATTATATTATTAGAGTTTTTTTATAGCAAAAGGGGCAAAGGAACAAACTATCCACCTAGAACCCCATATTATAGCGCTTATGGTAAATCTCAGGAGAAATATCGTTCTACAATTTGCACTTGAGAAGAGCAATATAAAACGAAAAATTATACATATTATAACGAGATTTAAAAATATTTATGCGGTAACAGAGAGACAGACTGACAAAAAATCTAAAAACTATAGATTCGGTCTCTGTATCGATAATAATGTCTATATCAATAAGATTTTCCAAAAAATATTTAATGTACAGATTCGGCTTAATTACAATTTTATTATAGGTACGTATAGATTATATTATACAGTAATAAAGTATTACAAATTAATTTGAAACCAAATAAATATTAAACGAGTTATAAAAATTATAAAACTAAATGATGTGATGTTCTCCTGACCGATTCCCGCCACGGCGGCCAATCTCATTGAGACTAGCCAACTGCGCAGGAGATATTATAGTGCACAAGTGTACGCGCAGACACAAGTGCACTCTCTATTCCTGTCACTCTCATACTCCGGTGGGACGACTGCTTGACACGACCAGTGAGAGTTAGGCGCAGGACCGACAGCTTTACGTGCTCTCCGAGGCACGGGGGTGAAACACCGCCAACTTCCCAACTCCGGGCTATTACTGAGGCTTACTATACAGAAAGACTCAGTAACTTAACTTGGCCCGACCCGGGACTCGAACCCAGGACCTCCGAGTGTGCAGCCGTACATGCTAGCCACTACACCACAGAGGCAGTTGGTTATAAAACTAAATACTGTAACATTTATAACAAAAAATGAATTGGGATAGGATCAATAACTTCTGTAAAATATAACATCACATTTTATCTAAAAGTGTTACACGGGTAATTGAATTTTGAGAAGAATTCTTTCTTAATTGATTTTAATTCATAAATAGGAATAGCGAAATTATAAATAAAAATATACATATCTACACGCTGCCCACAGTTGACTACAGGACTCTAAAGAAAAGATTTCAATTTGACATTTTTATTTTAAACAAAAAAATATCTGTGTAGAAGTGATGCAACAAATCTGTATCAAAATCTGTAATTTCAACCATACTCAGCCATTAATATTCACACTGCAAAAATCAATGTCGTGACTTTCGCAGAAGAGCCTGTAAACAAAATATGGTACACTCTATTTTTATAGAGAACTAGCAGAATCCGCACCTTCGCTCGCGTTAAAACTACAAAAAAAAAATTATAGGTAGATTTCATACAAACTTTCATCCCCTATAATATAATATAAGGGGGTAACTTATAGGATGAATTTCGAAAAATATTAAACACGTATTCATTTAATTGTATTGAAGAGCATTAATACCAAGTTTCAAGTAATTCTGATCATCAATATTTAATAGGTTGTATTATAACGCGTTTTCCCGTGGAAATTATATAATATTCCGCGGCAAAAAGTATGTCTATGTCACTCCCCAGCCTTCCAACTATCTCCACACAAAAAATCACGTCAATCCGTCACTCCGTTTCGACGTGAAAGAAGGACAAACAAACAAACACACTTTCACATTTATAATATTAGTATGCATAAGACAAAGAATTTACTAACAGCATATAGTTTCCAAAGCATTATGTCGTGTGTACACCCAGTGATCGAAAGGGCCTTTACCAACTTCTTCTGCTAAATCTTTAACTAAACGTCGAGCTTGTTTATTGAAGACATCCAAGAAACCATCGAGTACCACTTGACTGAACGAAGGGTTTAGCAGTTTACGGTGGTCTTTCCATATAGGTACTGAAAAATCAATATTTATACTTAATTATTATAATCTATACATATAATAAAATTGTAATTAAGCCGAATCTGTACATTAGATATTTTTTGGAAAATCTTATTGAAATAAACATTATTACCGATACAGAGGCCGAATCTATAGTTTTTAGAAATTTTGTCTGTCCGTCAGTCCGTCCGTCCGTCCGTCTGTCCGTCCGTCCGTCTGTCTGTCTGTTACCGCATCACAGAAAAACCACTAGAGGGATTTTGATGAAATTTGGTATGGTGATAGCTGGTTATCCGGGTCAATATATAGGATACTTTTTACCGCGGGAAAATATCTTATTTTTGAGAAAAAATAAAAAAACTGCAATGTAACAGTATATTAATATGTAAAATCTATGAATTTGGTTTTTGATCATCTGAACGCGGGCGGAGCCGCGGGCAATGCTGGTTAAATATAAATGTTGATTCTTAAAAACGACATACTGTCAAATTTCTTAGTAATTTAAGGAAAAATTGAGATATAAAAAAAGTTCTTAGTGGTTTTTTTAATTAAGTTAGGTAGCGCTATTTGGCTTATACCATTAGATGCGTAATTATTTTAGCTATTGAATAGAATAAAAAAATCTAAGAGGGCGCATCTCAGAGAGAGATAAGAGCGCCTTTCGGCTTAGCAGGGCAGTATGTTGGGATTTAAATAATAACTTCAGGAGGTAAATAGAGCGAACACTAAAGCAAACTTCTCCGTCTTAATTTTGTATGGGTAATTAATGAAATGAAATAAAAATATAAAGAAAAACTTAAGGAACTAAAAGCAAAGGAATCACTAAAATACGACACGTAACGTGACCATCTAATACGTATTCAAAACTTTGGTACACGATTCATAACGTTTTCGTTACGAATCGAAATCATATGACTAATATCAAGGAAACATATTATTTTAATACAATCATCATATTATTTAATACTTACCAGCCCCTGTAAGTAGCCCCTCCCCTACCCAAGCTTTTCCAAATTCGTAAAAATTATCTTTTTGTAAACAAGTGTTGGCTACAGTCAAGCAGTCCTCTGGATCAGTTATCGCTACAAAAAAAATATCTCACTAATTTATTGTATAGAAACCTCTTGATTTGGAAGAAATTTTACTAAGTGACAGTAATGTATAAATTGTTTTATTGATGTATTTATGTAACAATAAACTATGTCATTAAAGATTGTTCAATCTCAATATTTTTTCCGAAGCTTGAAAATCTCAATGTTCACAATATCTAGTACATAAGTTAGAAGAAAATAAATAACGGAAATCAAAATTCGTTTATCAAAAGGCAGTGTAAGGATATGAAGAGTAAAAAAAGTAAATTATACCATAAATAGTTCTTGGACCAATAGACACAGACACCACACCGCCTGCTTTAAAACTTTCATTGCAGAACTCTTTAAGTCTATTCCACAGTTCTGAAAAAAGTCATATTTTAGATTTAGAACTGGATCTAATATCACAGCCAATATTGAAATTCAACTTTTTCGTCCGTTTTTTTCCCGAATATCATATAAAAATTATGATATGACTTAAAAATTGTATAATATTAACTTCAGATGGTTACAATATGGATGTTGACATTCATTGATAAGTAATACTTGTTCCTTTATCCCATATTAAATAATTTAATAAATGTTTATTAATACTATTATCGCATATATTGATTAAAATTTAAATATATCGTCGTAGTGACGACAAAAGCAGACTAATAACAATAAAGGGCAAAGTAATGGCAGGGTACCTATGCGATTTATAATATATTTACGCGTTGTTATTAATCTTATTAAAATTACGTTAAACTAAGTATCTCTATTCGATGTACACAAATGAAAACTAGACAATATTTTAGAATATTCTATTTGTTTCTGTAATGGTAGCAAGGTTTTTTCCACATTATCTCATACTAATTTGAGAATAAAGCGCTCGTTTAGGAAATCAAGCGAACCCCGGGTTTTGCACCCCTTATATTTTCATGTGCCGATCATTTTTAATATGATTAATATGAGGAATCTTGCATCTCTTAATGAAATGGCATTTTCTACAAGTCTTTTACTTTCGATTGATACTAATATTTTGTCACAGGAATAGAGTTCTTGTACTTAAAAAAAATAATTAAAAATAGCCTGGAGCAAATTTTTGGTGACAATTTAAAAATATTGAAAAATAAAATCATTACTTACGCACACTGTCGCCGCAAAGTAAATGTGCATGACCTATTAAAGGTAGACTTTCGGGATAGGCAGGGGGTTCATCCTTGTTACCATTCTTTCGACACCACGCCCAGAGACCGAATGCCGCACAGATCAGTATTATCATCAACATGATCTTTAAGAAGTTTGTTAAGGAATAAAAACTTAAAAAAACCAACTTCCAGGCACTAAAATGTAAAAAATAACTAAATGGGGGTTTTCATTTAGAATAGATACCTAATCAGATATTTTCGAAGGCGGTGCCAGCCGACGCATAGGAAATCTAATATATTTTGATACGTAAAATACATATATACCAATTAGATATTCATATCTTAAAATATTGTTCGCTGGCACCGACTGAAAATCATTTTTTTTGTATACAATAATAAATGGGACAATATGTTTTGACCGAGGTGTCTATTAAAATAAGCCCGCTAGTATGTTTAATTAAATAAATAATAATTGTCTTTTTCGAACAACGATGCATTTGTTATAAAACTGAATTATATTCCACATCACAGAAATATACTTAGAGATCTTGAAAAGTGATAGCTGCCGTTGCGCACTTGGCCGCAACCTCTTCGCAGCCAGGTGTAAGAAGGTCATATTTTGTTACGTTTCTACGTTCATGGCGTATATTCATAATTTATATATCAAATTAAAGCTAATTTTTTTCTGTACCTGATAAACTTCGTCTGCTTATGTAAAAGTGGCCGCAATGGAAAGAAAAGAAGGAAAGAATATAATATTATATATCATTTGTCAGACAACAACGGTTACCATTTTCTTCTTTTAATAGGCACCTCGGTTAAAACATATTGTCCCTTTTATTATTGTATATAAAAAAATGACTTTGATTAAATACGCTATAAACGTAGCAATCTTGCAGCCAATAATAATGTTTCAATTCTAAAAAGTGGAGTTTAGATTTTAAGATTATTTAATCTAGCATAATTTAATTTTAATAATTGATAGCCAATCTGTTTATTTTCTTTGTTTACTAAATATACTTATATATCAAAAATATTAAATTAAAAAACAATATTTATTATACTTATGTGTTTTAACCCACCACCGCCATAAAGGTTTAAAATAATCACCTTTAAAAAGTCGTATAACTCAAATTTTAAATTCTTCTGTTATATAATAATTGCACACTAATAAATATTCTATTTATTTAGATTTTAGATCCTTCTATATAGAAGTGTAAAAATATAATAAAACAGGAACTGAGTGGACATAGCTCTTTATAGTACGATTTTATTATTTAAGTAGTATTCACATTCGCTGTAGTTAAACTGCTTATGAAGTTTCACAACGACCGGTTATTATTCATACAAAAAAAATATCGTACATGAAAAGAATAGCATTTTTTTTAGATGTGTCTCCGCATGTTTGTGTATTTTAAATGAGCTAGAAATTTAATTCTATCTCTATGTATTTGAATCCTTTGTGACAAATTAAAAAGCAGCATTGTTTCTTTCATCTAACTACTTTATTGCAAATGAAGTCTGAAGTATTCGTATTTATTAAACTTACGTAATATGCAGTAATAGCTGCTTCTATCAACACTATTTCCAGATACGTCTAAGTCAAAGAACAAAAAGTACTTTTTTGATCGATGGTCTATGTGTATGTACAAAAGAATGGACTCTTGAAAATATCTTTTTAACGTGTTCTTTCCATTTCCCTTCTCTTGTGATCTCTGAACTGGGCGACTTTAATATATGTTTGTCTCCGACTGCATAATACTTGTTTTCTTCTTTTTAACACCTCCAGATAAATTTCTAAGAAATGAATTAAATTTCTAAGAAATCTATTGTTAACTGTAACGCCGGCGTGTCCGCGGTCATTGAGGGATTAGTTCACTTTTTACGTACTGTTCTTTTTTATTTGTAAATATTTTTATTTCAACATTTAAATAAAAGCTTGTTTTTAAAAATGTTTTTGTTACTATTCATTTTTTAGCTATTCATCGCTAGTAGATTTATGTGTAGGTAATTAGAATATCTTACCATTAGGTTTAGAGTTCGGGTAGTCTCGACATTCTCAAAGTCCCGGGACACGAGACCACCCACGATCAAGTTCCCGGAAATCACGGGACTTCAAGACTTCTCAGAATAAAATAAGATTATTTTTGGCGAGATATACCAATAAATAAAGCAATTTTAGTAAAAATCAACATTTATTGAACATATTTACATTAGGGATGGGCCGAAATTCGTTTTACATTCGGTTTAACCGAATTTCGGCAGCTTGTGTCGAACTTCGGTATTTGGCCGAAATTCGGTTTAAATGCCGAACATTCGGCAATAGTAAAAAACTACCTACTTGCACTATTTTGACTGAAATTAATATAGAGCATGTCTGTTACAACAGTAGAATAAAATTAAGTCTTTTGTATACTCATTAGTCCGATCGGAATCCGGTTTGGAAACAAAAAAAAACCTGAAGTTGTATGTCTTCAAAACATTAGTAGGTATATAAGGAACAAAAATTCGTAAAATGTCCCCGATGTTCAGCTACTCCCGAAAAATGAGGGGATGAAAAATGTTGAACAATAGTTTTTTCCAATTTCCGGCTTACTGTGACGCCCTATCGAAAAATGTTCTCTTCAAAAGTTGTAGGTCTAGTAAAAATCTACAAGTTTTAAAGATGATATCTTCTTTTTACGATACCCTCAAATTTTCGAAATATTGGCAAAAAAGCCCGTTTTTTGAATTTTTTCTAGGTCTTTTCATGTCGTTATTTTTAATTTCTGCAATATTTTTTTATTTTCATGAAACTAGGGAAATGTTATCTTCGAAATACATATAATAACCATATTTTTTTTAAATTGAAATATTTAGGTGTTTCCTTAATTCCTAAATTTATGTTTTATGGTCTCGGGAGGCTGAAAATCACTCCCAACTTTATAGAGTCGCCTTGTAAAGAGCCCTTAAAAATTGAGGAAATCGATAACTTTTACTTTCGATAACTTTTTAGATAAACTACACTTTTTTAATAATCATTGAAAAAGTGTACTACCAAACTGACCAAATTTTTACAAAACTGATTACACCAATGTGTTTTACGGGAAAAAAGAAAAAAATGTATATTAAAATTTTTAATTTGACGGTTAAGATAAATAAAATAAATAGCTAAAGATTTCATTCCGTATGTCATAACTCTCTGTTTGTAAAAGAAGTGCAATAAAAAACCAAGAAAAAATTGAAAAACGAAATATCTCGAAAACTTTGAGGTTATTGTAAAAAGTGTCAAGTTGTAGATTTACAGACCTACAACTTTTCTAGAGAACATTTTTCGATAGGATGTCACAGTAAGCCGAAAATTCAAAAAAACACTATTTTTCAACCCTTTTCATCCTCTTATTTCTCGGTGGTAGCAGGACATTGGGGGCAATTTACGGATTTTTGTTCCTTGTATATATGCTAACGTTTTAAAGACGTTAACCTTCAGGTTTCATATATTATTATTTTTATATTAAAAATAAACGGATTCCGATAGGTCTACATGGTCATTTGTTTTAGTTAGGAATATATAAACCTTAACTCGTATGCGATAAAAAAATAAAATTAAATTAGTCCTTCTTAATTTAACAGTCTTAAAAGGCTTTGCCTTATTAAATAGACAAAATGAACTTAGTATTCTTCTAATAAACATTTTAATTACAATTCGTAAATTGATTTTTTTTAAAATCACGTTTTTGGTTCACAAATTAAACACTCAGAAACATTAAGTACTTTTAATTATTTTATTTTAATTATTATTTTAATTGAACCGAAGTTCGGCCGAATTACGGCCGAATTTTTTATTCTCACCGAATAGGTTCGGCCAAAGTTCGTATTCAGTTCGAACCACATCCCTAATTTATATATGTTTATTATATAAAAAATTCTAACACGTTATAGTCTAAACAATTTGGATATTTTATTCTAATCCCAAATTAAAAATGCAAACCTTAAAGTGCTTCAGTTGCAACTGTAATTCGTTTTATAATTTTGACATTGAGTTTTTTGCTAGAATGTCTGGTACATTTTTTGCAATTTTGTCGGGTTGATTAAAGTCGTTTCAAAGTCAAATGTTCGTCGGGTTCTTTCTGTACAGTAGTCGAACTTGGTACTAGGTTCGGTATCCATTATTTCCAATTCTCGCGTTTTAGATACGAGGAATATTTTCAAAAAATCTGCAATACAGTATTTTCGCAAATGCAAAAATAAAACGCGCAGCGAGACAGCAAGGCGATGGTGGCGAACATCAGTAACTGTGGATTGTTGTCGCCATGGTGTTTTTCCATAAGACATCCTCTGAAACTTGTACAAAAAGGAAGGGCGGTAAATGCAGTACTTGTAGACATTTCTTCAGGCAGGCAAATATACATATATTTTACTTTGCAATAGTTGCTGGCCCGGTTTGGACACTAAATTGTAGTGGTAAGACTATAGGCTTAAAGAGCTATATATAAAGTCATATTATTTGAATTGAGTTAGAAATAATTATGTACATAAATATAATAAAGTTATTATTCCAATACTTCATGTAAAACCAAAGAATTGTAATTATATGCATTGAGATAGTTTATAGATGTATTTGACCATACTGTTTCTTTTGTTACTAATCCTAAAAGAATACAAATTTTAGTTCCAAGTTAAATATCCGAACTTACGTCACAATGATCAAAAGCACTATATTACATAATAAACATTATTAAATAGATTATATATATAGTACCTGGGCTACCGAGCCTCGCTTGGAGTTTTTGGCTTTATTAAAAAAAACTAAAAATTTGAATAAATATTAAAAAAAAACTTAAGTAAAAACTTTGTATGCGACCGAGATTCGAACATGGACACCTGTGATTGTTGTTCTTGCATCTTGGCCGCTTGACCACGATGCTTAACTCCAGAGCGTGCCAATTACCGACCATATTTTGCGTGGGATAATGAAAAAGAAAACTGCATGAAAACTCGAAAACACGCGTTTTCTCAGACATAAGAGTAATCTAGATCGATTTATCGCCCCCGAAACCTCCTGTATACTGAATTTCATGAAAATCGTTGGAGCCGTTTCCGAGGTTCAGATTATATCTATACTAATATTATAAAGAGGTAAAGTTTGTGATCT